AAAAACATAAACGCTACCCCAGCAGTTCTTTCCTAAGAGCATCTGTTAATTCACTCCATTTATAAAATACATATTGACAAAGACAACTGTACTGGGACCAGGGAGATTTGATTTGGTGTGAGAAAGTCAATTCAATGTGATTTTGTTAAAGGGCTCCTGCAGGCAAATAAAAAGAGTTTAAGTAATAAAATACATAAAGAGTTGTTTTATGAGCCAATGCTTTCCAGTGGCAGCCACACATTGTGAGGATTTAGAAAGGGATCTGGTTAGAAGAAACGTAAGATAATGTTTCCTGCGTTACTCTGAGCTGAAACACTGAATGTTTCACACTGGGGTAATGACTGAAAACCTACCCAACTTTAGGTTTAATATGTCAAGAGAGAAGAGAAATAATTTTCTTATACTATCATTAATTTATTGAAAAGGTTATTTTTATATACATACATACCCACCAAGCTATATACATCCTTTTGGGGTAAGTGGTATTATGAAAAGCTCAGAAAAAAACAGCAAGCAAAAGTAATTAAAGACGGATGGATGGATGGATGGATGGATGGATGGATGGATGGATGGATGCAAGCAAGCAAGCAAGCAAGCAAGCAAGCAAAACCTGGTTTACACCAAGGCCAATCATTATACCTTTCCATATCTTTCTATCCCTGCAAAACATCCTTTTTTCCATCACTTTCATACTCAGCTTTATTCATGGACTTCTCTTCTTTACCCTTTTCGTTTCTCTCTTTCTGAAATCCATCAAATTAATCACATCCTAACTTTCTCAGTCTTCCCCTTCACCCTTTCTTCATGTATTTGTTTTGCAGTTAGATCCTTTGAAAGGTGTTCGTATTACACTATTTCTTGAAATAAGTTGGAACTCAGTCCTTTTTCATACCAACTTTCCTTCTTTCCCATCTGCTTGGTTGTTGCGATTCCTTCCGCTTACTCAATTAGATCATCATTCATTCTCTTTATATGACCAAACCACCTTAATACACTTTTTCAGCTCTGGTCACTTATTTCGGTATACGATCAACATTCATTCAGCACATCCCTGTCTCTTCTTGTTTTACCACAAGAGACTTCTTAAATGTGCCATTTCTACTGCATTCAATTTACTTTGAAGTTTCTCCTGACACTCCCCACTCTCAGTTCCATGCCACCTGCAACTTTGGTGTTATAATTTTGGCAGCTCTCACCCACCAATAGGCAGGCTGCTGTATTCTACACCAATTACAACTTCCTGGTGGCTTTCAAAGGCAGACCATTGCAGTCATCTACCTGCAAGGTGAGAAGGGCATGGATAACCATTGCAGGGCATTATGCTCCAGGAAGGGCCACAGCTGGTGCATCAGCCAAAGCTGGGCAAAGCCCCTCTCCTCCACATCCATACTCTTCAGTGCAACCTACAATCTGGCCAACTGTCACTGGAAACTATACAGCGTCAACGAAAAGAACATATCATTCAAAAGTACACACACATTCATGTTTCCAGATAACACACCTCTAATATCACCACAAACATGCTTTGTAGGTTTATCCCTCAATACAACAAAAAGGATATCCTATATATTTGTCTTATCCCCTCCTCAACTCAAAACCATTTGCTAAGCATATTCTCGTGTATGGTTTATTTCCAACTGATACCATTCTTTTCACATTCAGCAACCAACATTCAGGTTCATGCCCATGCAAAATGTGCTGCCATGCAAGCCTATTGATTTTATCGTATGCTTTCTCTAAGGGCATATCCACACTTACCATTTAAGGTGTTCCTGTCTTGTGCTCATGCCAGCTTGACTCAGTAGGCTTAAGAAAAATATTGTCCTGACTGGGATACTTTGGCAACAGGTTACAAAATAGTGAGGTCTACAGCCTAACAGGTCCTCCCATTGAAGAACTGCTCTGTCACTCTGCCCTCCCATCTTTCCATTTCAGTCACTTTCTTCCTGTGGGAGTGTTTTCCTGGACATAGACACTTGAATACATTTATGTGTATACTTTTATACATGAATGTTTAAATATACACATTTACATACTGTAAATGCATACACAAAATAAATTTAAGTTTATATATACAAGAAATGCCATATATATAGGCACAATGAGCAGCTTTAAAATAAAAGTTCCCTTCTTTCTCATCTGTCCCACTCCAATAACTTCCAAACTTTCCTTTTCTCAGTTGAGCTGAAAGATCATTGTACTATCTTGTATTCATGGGTTTCCTGCATTAAAATGGCAGGAACCCATGCCATCAATTTTGTGTAAAAAAACAGCAGCCCAATCCTCTGACTCTCTTTGCCACGGGGTCGCAAATTACCCAACCCTGCTCTAAGGCTCTCTTTTCACTCTTTAATATCACTAAACTCTTAATTCTTAGCTACATATTGATAGCTAGGTAGAAGGTTGCTGCAGGGCTCAGCTTTGTGGGGTGCCAGAGTACTCAACTCACTTTCCCTTCCTGCACTTGGAGCATTACATTTGGTTCTGGTTATCACATTTTAAATGGGACATGGAGAAACTGGAGCAGATTCAGAGCAGGTTATAACAATATGGGGTTGAACTTCTAGACTAGAGTCTTACTGCAGTGTTGTAGGGAAGATAAGCTACTATCTTTTGGCGATAATTCTTCTATTTCTTCATACTGTCATTTTTAAATGGAAAATATCATTATGTCACATTTTTTCTAAAAACATCTAAAAATCTAACGGAGGCAAAGCATTACTCTAAATGAAGTGGTGTGTTCTGGTTTCATAACTGCTTGAAGCTAACAGGATGCTTTTGGTTAAGCACCCTATTTCATATGAGGGGGACATGATCTAGGTGTATAAAATCATGCATGGCATGGAGAAAGGAACAAGAAAAAGTTTGTCTCCATCTCTCAAAATACTAGGAGCAGCTGTCATCCAATCAAATTAATGGGAGAGAGTTAATACATACAAAAAGGAATTTCTTCACACAGCCCATAATTAACCTGTGGAATTCATAAGATGTGGTTCAGGCTACTAACTTAGATAGCTTTAAAATGGAATTGCATACATTTATGGAGAACAAGTCTATCGAAATCTATTAAGACTCTATTAAGACTGTCAATTGCAGAGACAGCTACATTACCACCTCCTATTTGTGAGCACTCCAGAAATATTTGGTTGGCCATTGTGAAAACAAAATGCTGGACAAAGGTGGACTTTGACTTAACCTCAGGCCAAGTAATAATAATAGAGTTTGAAGCAGAACCAGTCCTTGTGACATCTTCCATCTCTACAATTAAATTTTCCAATCTACAACCTCCAAATCCTAAGCAGTACTAAGGGAGGAACAGAGGGTTGAATGAGGGAAGATCACCTGATAGGAAGGTCAGGATCCCTTGGAGAAAGATCTTCCTCATGAGTCAGAACCATGAAGACCACCAAATGAGCCTAGGAAGGGATGATTACTAGGAACTCTGTATGTCAGTGTCAAAACCAGAGATGGTTGCTGGAAACTAAGCTTGTTCAGCCCATCTCTGAATCCCCACAGTGGAATCTGCAACCATGATTTGTTACCTTGCCTACAGTATATTAATCTTTGTCTGAATCACAACCATTCTTCCAGCCTGACTTATTTTGTATGGTACAGCACTTATTGTCTTTCACCAACAGACTTGGATAACTCTTTGGCTTTAGTGTTTTGTAAGACTAATTTACTGGTTCTTAGCGCTGGCTGAGTCTTTTCTTTCTCTCAGTCCTTGCATCTCCTCAAGATAAATTGCTACTGATAAATCCTTTTACGAAGTAATTCTGAGTGCATCTAGGAGACAGTTATGTGGCCAGAAGGTGCAACCCTGTTTCTCTGCTCCCCCAATAAAGCACATATACAAATACATTAATCCACAAATTGAAAATCAGAGTCACACCGCCCCATCTGGCTAAGGCAGAACTGATCTAGTAATAACGGTAGGCATGTGCAATAAATTTGTCATGTTAAAGGTATGTTGACTGGCAAGGGTTCCATCATAGTTGACTTTCTCTGGAATGAGGAAAAGACAGGCCACAAACTAATAACAGACAAGAGTAATTCAAACAGACTCCTCTGTTCCTGACATTCATGCTGTGTTGTCTGACCTCTTTTAGGCAACAGTTTCCCAGAATATGAATATAAAGTGATTTATCCAAATAGTGATATAGATTCATTTACATTTAATTCAGAAATGGTCAGAGTATTCCATTTATTTAAACCACTGACTTTGAAGCTGATTTTTCTTTGTTGTTTCTTGTGAGCTATCTTGGAAAAAGATTCTTATTAGCAGTATTTTAAAATGGTAAAATACATACGTACATAAACTGTGTCATTAGAATCCCATTTTTCCCCACACTAGACTTTCTTATAAGCACTTTGGAAGACTGCAGATGTTCTAGAGTGCTTTCCAGGGTCATTCAGGATACTGGCCATGGCACAGAAGAGCTAACTGTTTGTGCTAATTTGTAATTTTTGCAATCCTGAATGGCCGGTTGGAATTATTTCTAGTTACTTGGCATAACTGAACGGCAGATTATATATACAAATTACAATCATAAGTGTTTGATTGTTGATCCTTATATAATCAGATCAGCACTTTCTATTAACAAGAGGGATTTCAACAAGTTTCATGTATGTATGTGTGTGTGTGTGTGTGTATGTGTGTGTGTATGTATGTGTGTATGTGTATGTGTGTATATACATATATGTGTGTATATATATAAAAATAAATAAATAAATAAATAAAAACTTTAAGGAAAAGTTCCTCAAGGGATAAAAATAAAAAATAAAACAGCTATGGAATGCTGACTCTTTCAGGGCAAAAATGATCTTCCACATTTGAGGGCCATATTGTGGGCTATATTCCAAGAAATGATTGGTGGGACCAGGAAAAAAGAAAAGTGGTTAAAAACTATATGGATCTAGGGCTTTATGCAAAACTGAACTACCTTGTTTTTATCATATACCATCAAGCAGAGCATAATACAGAAATAATCCATGAGTACCTGTTGTAGGTTAATAGGTTTTTCCAACTTCTTCATCACCACAGCAAATCAGGTCTTTGTTTTCTATTTGCCCACCACAACGTTGCTGATTGAAGCCATTATGCAGTAACCCACTACAACAAATCTGTTTCCCCAATAAAGGAATGCCATGACAGTAGGAGTCTCCAGTTCCAACAGAGACCCAGTTTAGGTTTTCATCTGGGCAGCATACTTGATTTAAATACAACATAGGGCTTTTGTGCATGAAAGGCAGTGAAAATTATCTAATCTATTATTTATTCTTGGACATAGTAAGTAGGATAGTGTTGTTTCCACTGTTATTCATAAAATATCAGGAGTCTGCTAGCACCTTTTCATACTAATACATTTTATTAAAAAGCATAGACTTTTGTGAGTTCCAGTTCACTTCATCAAATGCATGGAATAGCTAAACTGATGTAGGATTTAAATTGGGATGAGGTGGGGAGAAAGGGGAAGGGAGGGGAAGACAGAAGACAAGAGGGTTATGCAGATTACTTGTGAGACAGACTACAAGTATTTTATCAATTAACAAATGTAATGTATTATAAATCCATTGTGCTTGTCAACACATTCTGAGACTGAAACTTTTGGGTGAATGTGAGTTTAGCAATCTCTTGCTCAATTGTGCAGGTAAATGTCTGCCCCCCTCCCCCCAAAAAGTGGCTACTTTGAGATCTGTAATAGAGTGTTCTGGGAGGTTGAAATGTGCAGGCATTACTTTGTCTTTGTTCTGAATGATGATGTCCAACTTGTGCCCATTAATTCTTTTCCACATATTTGGCCTGTTTGTCCTATGTAGAATCCAGTGGGGCATTGCTGGCAGATGATGGTATATATTACATTTCAGGAAGATTATGTGAAGGTGCATCTAAACCTATATGTGAAGTTGTTGGAACCTGTGATGGTGCTGTTGGTGAAAATGTGGGAGCAATGTAGCCATCTAGGTAGCTCACAAAACTTATTCCTTTTAATAAAATGTGTTAATTTGAAAAGGTACAGCCAGACTCCTAATTTTTGGTGACCATAGACTAACAAAGCCATCCTCCTACAATGTCATATAAACAACATCAGTTGTACATAGAAGTTAATGGTGCAGCATAAAAATTGCATTTAAAAAAATCCACAAGCTTAGCAGGATAGATAAAAGAGGGAGGTTGGATATGCACAATGCACTGCATGATACAACTTAGATCAAAAGTATCATTTGGATATATTGCATTGAATTAGGTGCACTGCAGACATAAAGCTGTATTATGGCATTTTCTTGCATTAACTCCTCTGTTCTTCTATTTATAAATCTCTTCTGGAAAATAGTAATAATTTTTAAAAATATTGCCTTTGTACACACATTCAAGGCTATGCACATTCTAGTCTACATGTGTCCTACAGTAGTTGTCTTTCAGTTATTACCACTTTAAATATTTCCTTCAGTAGCTGTGTTTAAATCTCTCCTACATTTAATAAGTAGCTTGGAGATTCAGTTGGAGAGCTTCTAAAAAGGCTGTCAATCTTTGATGCGTATATGCAATCTCACATGGAAAAAGCCATCTACCGTGTTCTGACACAACGCTCATGGAAGAACATTGTTTGCATTCTTCACAATGCCCCGGGGAGAAAATAACTGTGTTGAATGCTAATATTATTAACTTTATCACACTTTGGAAACTCATCCCAATTCATCTCTGCTTGAGGATTCATAGCTATATCTTCTGCTCTCCATATACTGATAACATTACTACTCCTTGCCTGATTTGCAAGATGCAAATACGTCTTACATCGTTCCAAAATAGCCAAATAATATCTTGAAAACATGCGTGCAAAGAGCGGCATGCATAAATCTTTATAAAATAAATAATAAAGACAAGAATAAACAGAAGGAGTGAAAGAGATATCATTTGTTGAGATACTTAACCACTTTTCTGCATTTTTCTCAGAATCTAATTTTGAAGGCCTTCAAGTTACATCACTTGCAAATAATACAGATTTCTTTATATTCTTTTATAAAAGGACCATTAGACATAAGACACAAAGAATTAGTAACCTTCTCATTAACCTCTCAAAATGGAATCCATTCCAAGCCAAGCTTGAAAATGTTTTCTCTCTGAATACGACCACGCAGTCTTCCTAGTTAATTGTTACCCTTATCAAAGAATGACCCACATTAACATTTCCCTTGGGGTAATCAGTGTGTGTGTGTCTGTGTGTGTGCACGCGCGCACACACACACACACACAGAAAGTGACCGGTACTGTTTTTGTTTCCCTTAGGTAACAGATGGAAAATGAGGGAGTGAGAAGATAATAAGAAGAGTTTCTTTCTAGGAAACAAAAGAAACAAAAACACAAAACCGTTGGCAAATAGCATAAATATCCCTTGCCTGTTATTGACAACTGCTTGCTGTGTTTGTTGTTGTTTTTAAAGACAATATGGTTTGTGCCACTGTACTTTACTTGCCTTTGTAAACAGCACTAAGTTTGTTAACAGAAATCATTGTATAGGTCTAGAGGTCAGAGACAATGATCATCTTCTTTTAGAACATTGAGATTAATGAGACTAGCAAAAGACTCTCCTATAGTTCCTTGGGACATCATTTTTTTCTTCGGATGACATCATGAGAGACATTCTAATATTGTGATATATGAACGACTTCTGGAGGGATTGAATTGAGGTTGTGCTGCATAGCTTGGCAGAAATTCAAAGTCCTTCCGAGCACAGAGAATGTGTGCCAAACCATGGGTAATGCAGTCAATTTAGCTCCTGACCTCACAATTGCCTGCAAAGAGATGTATGCATTAAATATCCAGGAGAAAGCTTTCCTTGGGCCACCAGACTTATTCCGTATAAGTGTGTGGTCTATAACCAAATTGCAAAAAACATTTTAAAAGGTGCTCAAAGGCAAATTTGCATTGATAAATATCCCAGCATTTTAGGCCACACGGTATCTGTAAGGGCCCGTAGGCTGTGGACAGCTTCCATGGCTCCATACGTCCCTGATTTTAAATAAAAAAAAAATTAAACTTTTAAAGGGCACTTTGATTTTGATTAATGTTATTGGACCCAAGTAGGCTATCACAGGCATTCGAGGGAAATAAAAACAATAGCCAGTATTTTCCTTGGAACTACTGTATGCTCATCTGCCTTTCCACACAGCCAAGATGCTAACAAATATCCTGAGGAGCTAAAACAAAGACTGGAGGGATTTTGCACTAGTTTGCCTTCTGGAAAATGGGTGCTTTGTGACTGGCTACGTTCCTCCCGGCAGCCATATTATGAACAAACAAACCATTCCCCCATGGAGCTATTTTTGTTTGAATACCCAGAACGTACACTTTAAAAACCAATTGTGTCCATTGGCCCCCAAAGATTGCTGACTACAGCAGTCATCTGAACATTCATACTTCATTTTTAATTAGAAATGTAATGTATTTGTAAGAATCAAACCAGGTGGCAGTACCTAGCCAACTTTGACTGACCTGAAAAAACTAAGTAGGTCTGGATAGGACAATGTTTTCAATCTTGGCAACTTTAAGATGTGTGGACTTCAACTCCCAGAATTCCCCA